GTAAGGTAGTTGTTTTTGTAATTAATTTTATACAAAATGTATTGAATGGTTGGTGTATTAAATGATTTTTATAAACATCTATAAATTTCATTGTCCGTACACAGTTTCAGGTGTTAGATAACAATAAACAGGGTAACAGCTCCCAACAGAGCGGAGCACTGCAACCATAGTTGATCTTTTGTTCTATATCTATTTCAAGTGTTAATAACTTTAAATTCAGATTCAAATAATTATTTCTTAAGTTAATCCTTTGGTTGATTTTGAATATTCCCAATTATTTATCATCAATGTTGTTTGAAAATGTTCATTGCTTATTTCTTTGCATATAAGTTTTGGACTATAGGTGTTAATAGTTCTAAATCAAATATGTAGTCTTTAATAAAATGATTGTGATTGAAATAATATCCACCATCAGTGGTCTTTAGAAACACCATCGGTCATTCATATATTATTTTAGGATTGCAAGTATCAATAATTGAATGTTAACAATTTTGAACTTATAAATCGTATGTTAACATATATAGAGCCAATATTTATTTTAATTACTTTATTTAAATTTGTAGTTTTAATTTTGACATACAAAATATACCAGCGATATCGGCGATGCGTTAACTATAGACACAAGGAAAGCAATGAATTTAAGGCGTCATGATATTGAAAGAACTTTAAAAAAGGAAAATGTAAGGAAAGTTAGATAAGTTTCAAAAAAAGGGGTTTAACTTTGAAAAAGAATATTCAACTGGCACATGGTTAATAAAGAGTTATGTAAAGTTTTGGTTGAATATTGTTTATTGGATTTGGGTAATATTTTTTGGGTTATATTTTTTTAAGAGCATAAGAAAAAGTTTGGTTCAGAACAATTCATTAAATAAAAGTGAAGCATATTGAAAGACTGTAATTTTTCTGTTTTTTGTTAACTTTTAGAATTTTTAATGCACAGAATCAAGAAAAGTGCCATGATCAAGCAAAGTGCCATAATCAAGATAAGTGCCATAATATAGCAAAAATGTGATTTATCAATGTATTCCTAGAAAATAAAGTACCCATTTCCGTATAAATGAAAACTGTAGTTGTTAATTCAAAACGCAAGTTGTTTAACTAAACACATTACTTTAATATTTAACTTTCGTCTGAATATATTCAAATAAAATTTTAGAAAATTAATAATTTATAATGTTTGTGAATTTAACGTTTTGAAGTTTTTTTCACTTCTTTAGAATGGATAAATAAAAATCAACAACAATTAATCGTTGTTAGCCGAAACGATTGCAACGTTCCAGCTAACAGCACCTAAAAATAATTAAAATGACTGATGTGTGCAATACACACATTCCGTTGCGCTTAAAAATTCATGGAAGAGACTTGTGTGTGAGTTTTTTCTATGTTAAAAAATCAGTAGAGGAAAAAATATTAAATCATATACAGATATATGTATATATGTAATATAAAATAAAACAAATAAGTAAATAAAAGTATATGAATAAATAATATATATATATGTTTTTAAAAATTATTTTGTGGTAAAACAAGACATCTACTAGGAATACAGAATAGGGTGATGTTCAGATTCAAAAATTTTTGATCATAAATTAGGTTGAGTTTTGGGTTAATATATTTGAAAAAATATTTGAAAAAATTATTTTTTGAGGACCCAAAAACTTTTTGAAAGCCTTAAAAATGTTATTGCTTAGAAGAAGCATAGAAATCATTAAATCTAACTTAACATATAAAGCAATGAATCAAAGAGTAAGTGGAAGTGAAAAATAAACCGAAATATATTTAGAAAAATGTTAGATAAAATAAAGTTTTCTATATTTTGTAAAAAAGAGAATGTTAGATAAGCTAGAAACTATTAAAGTGACTTAACATTTCTCAAGTAAAAGTTTTTAGGACGACTTCTATAGTCTGCGTCGCAGTTACTACAGGAAATAAAACATTTTACGAATTTTTTTGTTTTTTGCATCAAGAAATCGACTTATGAATTAGTTAATAAATAAACGAAAAATGTATTTTTTCAAGATATTACAAAAATTAATACTTAAATTATAAAAGATTATAAATTTAAATAAAGCATTTTAAATTAATGAATAAATATATAAATTTTTTTAAATTAAAATTTTAAATTAAAAAGGTGAATATTAAAAGAAATTAATAATAAATTGAAAAAAAATAAATTCTCATATAAAGCATAAAAACCATAACAGTGTCATATTTATTAATTAACATATATAAAATATACAGAAATAATAATAAATACCTCATATATTATTTTCTTGAACAGGAAGTACAAAAATAATGTTGAAATAATACTACTTTTTATTTAAAAAAAAAATATTATTTAATGCAGACAAAAAAAATAAAATAAAAATTATATATATAAAAATATACATAGTGTAGATATAAGAAAAATAAAAAGAACAAAAATTAAGATAAAAAATATGCGAAGAAATTAATGACTCAAAAATAATTAAAATAAAATTAATAAGTAAAACAAACAAAAAAAAAATAACAAATAATATATTAATAAATATATATAAAACAATTTATAAATGACTGTAAAAAAAAAATTTTTACAGACAAGAAAAAAATAACATTTTGAATTTGTAAGTAAAAAAAAATTAAATAAAATAAAAATGAAGTTTAAGAAATAAATTTAAACTTAAAATATATTTAATTAAATAAATTTTAATTAAAATAAATTTAATTACACTGAAAATAAATAATAAATTAATTAACATAGTACAAAATAATTAATACAAGATATATTAATAAAAAAAAAAAATTATTAATAAATAGAACATTTAATTAAACGAAAAAATATATTTCAAATCATAATTGTTTAAATAGTTTCAGTTAAAAAAATAATTAAACAATTATATATAGAAAATTGTGGAAAATATTTATTAATTCAAAATTTTACTTAGGCAACTTTTCAAAATATCGCTTTATGAAAACTTTAAAGCTCAGAATTTAATTGATTTCTCCATAAAATCGCGTTAACTTACAATATTGAATAGGTCTTTGCTAAGCTTAAATTTTGAGAGCTTGAAAGCTTATCAAGAATTATTTTAGTTCGTCCAAAAACCAAATGCCTAAAGCTTATGTTTTTAAAATAAATAAAAAAAATTTCTCATACGCCATGTCGAACGGTTTGGAAAAAATAATTTCAGCTTAATATCTGCTTCTAATATATTATTTTTTTCATGGATTTAAACCACATGCTGAAGCGATTCTTCTAATTTGGTTCAGTTCAATGGTTCAATAATCTGAAAGATTGGTTTGGTTCAAAAACTAACCTTCAGACCAGTGGTTCTATACAAAACTGTATTGGTTCAAGACAGAGAAGGTAAATGTTAATAAATTAGTTTTCCAAAAGTCCATAGTGCACACTATGCACCACCGTCAAAACTAGGTATGCGTTAGCCTTTACAACAAGTAGCCCACTGTGGCAATAAGTCTTGATATTGAAACAGCCTTCGACACTATATGATTCGAACGCTTGATCCACAAACTCTGCCAGTTCGGTTTCCCTTTGTAGTGTTATCCACCAATTTCTTTCTAATAAGTCCTTTCAAGTTCGATTGGGTTCTTTGTCCCGCGACCTGTTTACAGCAGATATTCCTCTCCCCCGTGTCCTCGTCAAGTAAATTTGTCACGCTGACGATTGCCTCGTCTTCATGCGGTCGTATAATCCCTCCCGCATCTCCAACGACCTGAATGCCCACCTTAGCACCCTCTTTGAATATTACACCAGGTGGAAGATTAAGTTCAACCCCTGTAAGATCTCAGCCATAGCTTTTTATGACCTAAAAAGAGATTTAAGCAGAGATAAGTGGAGAAGCACAGATTTCTCTGCTACTCTCAATGTTTTATGTAGTGCATTTAGACATAAATGGTTGGTTATTGAAAGGCACGCGAGTTGATGATTGAAATTAGTATGAATTGTGTTAAAGCTAAATTCCTTATATATAAGGGGATCAAATATATGAACATTATGGATATTTTGTAAAAATTTTTATTATTTTCAATATTTGAAGAGCAATCAATAAAATGTAAATCTAAAATTATAAATTTGCTAAATTTCAGAGATGAAATCCTTATTCAATCGAATAATATAACATGAATTTACTTTTACATTTTCAATATTTGTATTTAGTGATTAATAACCTTCATTCTGACGTCCTCATTGTTCCATTGAACCTTTTTATTCGCTCAGCCGATAGTTTTTAACTGAATATTTACAAGTGCTTTTTTGTGTAGTTTCAATGCCTGTCAATGTCAGTCCTTACCTTGTCCAAGAATTTTCAAAGGACTCAGTTATGTTTTGCAGTAAATTTTAACAAGTGGCATTAAACCTTTCAGTAAACAAACAAAAGCAATATAACAAAATGACAATACCTAAATGAAAAAAAAAAATATAAAATATAATATTGAACTTAAAAAACCATTGTCAGTCTGATAATTTTATTTAAAAATGGAAAATTTCTTTTATACAAGAAAAATATATATATAAATATAAATAAAAGTAAATATGGAATCAAGTGGGCAATGTACTTCTCTTTTGTGTATTCTTGTGTCCAGACAGACGTCGGTTTATTTTTTTTTTGTATTTTTTATCGATTTAATTTGATAGAATTTTAAGTTGAAGGAAATTTTGTAATAATTTGGTATCGTTAAAATTAAGCATAATTTGTTAGAAAAAAAGTTACTTTGAAAAAAATTGATCTCTTCGGTGAATAATTGAAAATAAATCCTCTAGGTAAATAATACGCTATTGATGATAAATGTTATTGATGAACGATACTTAAGTTATCGAAATTCTGGCAGATTTAAATGAGATTAAGTAACATAAACCATTAATCATCGTAAGAAAATTGCAAATGCATTGACAAAATGTTAACTACGTAATCTTCCTTCCTTTAAAAGACAGGTCAAGGAGAAGTAACAGGGCGGAGTATGACATCAGCGTCATCTGAGTATCCAATAATTTATGTAGACTTGTGGATTCTTTATAATACGTCCTCGATCAATAGAGTTTACAGATTTCAAGGTATCTGTTTTCATACACTATGTAGAATAGCATACTAGTATAAGCTAGGTCATGATTATAGATTGCACAACTTCTTTTGTTCAATGATTGTATTTGTAGTTGCTTTTTTATTATATACAGTTATCTTAAATTATAACAAATAATAATTATCAAAGACGTTAAAGTTTTCGATACAGAGATGCTCTACCAGCGACGCATACTCTATTTATTTTAGTATACATATTTTAGTATTTTTTAGTGCTGATCTTAAACTGCACGTCCTTATTTCACCAGGCCGTGTTTGACACCCTCTTTGTATGTAAGGCTTGTCTATTATAAAAGACGATGGAGATTCTGGACTGAGATACAGGACCTAGGTGCCAGCTATTTTCGTTGTACTGTACTAGCACTTATATTTCGTAGATACTGGCTTCGTGTATTGGAGTGTATGGGTGACCGTGATTGACAGCTAATAGTACAGAGGTATAATGTGTAACTTTGAGGGAAAATATATAAATGATGTATTTTGTTACTTTACAACACTTGCTCTTAGGTGAGTAAATCAGTCAAATAATACTACTATAGGCCTGAAGACATTGCCTGTTTTATTAAAGCGTCAAAGAGGTTTTCAGGTGTGAAATAAAGGGATCTTTACATAAGCCCCTTAGAATAGACACATGTCTCAAACTATTTGGTATCCTGATGAACTCACTTTCAATCCTAAATAACTTGCGTGTTTTGCGAAGCTGGTTTTCATTGGTATCTATCAATTTTCATCCAGTACAATTAATTATAAGGTATATAATGTCTATAAGAACAGAAATCCATTTTCCTGTAATTATTAAATTTATCACATTTTATTATTTATTTATTTTTTTTAACAATTTAGATTTTTTCTTTTAGTTTCTTCTCCAAATATCTTAATCTCATCATATCTGTGCTAAGTTTACGTATATACATTTTCTCTTCTCTGTCGGCCTGATTTAGTTCATGCTTTAACTCTGCATATTCAGCCACACTCGGGGCTTGAAAACGTTGTAAATGCTTCTTCAATTGATTTATATATTCAACATCTTTCTTAAAAACTCTTATTTCTCTATTTAATTCTTGTTTTAGTTTCGCGTTACCGCGTTCTTCTTCTATAATTTTAGTGGTTCGCATTATTGATTGATGCTTTGTGGCCAACAGATTTTGTCTCGCCAAATTCATAGCTCGATTTACATTGCCAGTAACGAACTTTAAATTATAATTGACGTCAATTTGTTTATATAGCGAACCTGTGAGATCATGCCTACTAATGGACAATAATTGAAAATCGACATGAGTGGAGGCGACGTTAACTGGAGCTTTATTAAGTATGTCGTAGCGCATTTCAAAGCAGGCCTGCGCAACTTTAGTCATGTTTAAGCGTATTTCTAAGATAAGATTTGTTGCTCTGCTAGACCAATTTTTACAAAAATACTTAAACAAGTGGATTAATTCTATTTGTCTTTCATACCCTTTCAAATTTGGATTGACAGACAACAAATGTTTTCTCAAATTTTCTCTTGATTCTTCCAGTTCACCGTAAGTAATATCCAGTTCATCAATCCACGCATTTAATTTCCGTATTTCACGAAACGCTGAAATTAATATAGAGTATATATTGATTTTAATCAAAGAGAAAACATATAAATAAGATAAAATCATTTCCCAGAACTTATACTTTGATATTAACTAACATCTACATTATCAAGTTTTTGGCAAGTTTATAATAAACTTATAAATAAATAAGAAAATAAATAAGTATTTTTAATATATTAATATAAATAAAAAAAAATTTGTATATGTTAGTTAAAAAATGAGAGCATATACAACGATATAGCCGGAGTCTTGCCAGTGTAGGCGTTAAAATATCTTCTTACCTATATTACGCATACTGCTTATTTGTTGTTCCACCTCGTTACATATCTTTTCTGCTAATTCAGTTCTAGTGCGAAGTGTTAAATGATATTCTACACCAGGTTTTTTCATAGAACTGTAAATCGAACGAGTCATAGATACGTCATCCCAACTGCGCCTATCCGATACCGGAGACCCTACTGCTCCTCTAAGTGTATAGTGCGTGACCATATTATGCACTTCATCGTAACCTAATAACAGTTTTGCATCATTTTTTTCGAGGAAATAATGTAACATATAATTTTCAACTTTTAATGTTGTAATAGAATAATTAATCTTTTCCAAAGTATAGTATAATTCCAGGCTGTCAAACTCTTGTAAGTGCTGCAGTTTTTGATTGTAAGTGATAAGATCTTTGTAGACAGCGAAATTGATTTTGAATAAAATTGCTTCTATCACGATTTTTGATTGCTTTGAAGCATAAATAACACTTCTCGATTGATTTCGGCTAACGATAGTGGAAAAAGATCCCGACCGATCTGAAGTAAATATAAGTGAAGACATTTTGCTTTTGCTTTTAAGTGGAAAAAATTAAAAACAAAAAAATAATGAAAAAGTATATAAAGAATAATTAAACGAAACTAAAAAATTAAACAATAAAAATGCAAAAAAAAAAAAATTATTTTAAATTGACTTTCTATAATTAAAGTCAATTAAAAAAATTAGAAAAAGTATCTTTACGTGAGAACTAGATTAAAAATTATATAAAGCATAACTTCTAAACGCATAAAGTAGGTTTCACTGTAGTTGAAAAGTAAGTTTTTTGTGTTAAATTTACTATAGCAACAGAAAATTTCAACAATTATAAGCAGAACTATACTAATCGGGATGATAATGGACGTGAAAGAAATAATAAAAGAGATAATATATATTGAAACATTAGAGAAAGAGACAAATAGAAAGAGAGAGTAAGTGAGAGTGAGAGACAAAAAATGTGAGAGAGGTAGAGAGGTAGAGATTGAGAAAAAATCATAAAGAAAGAAAGATAGAGAAAGAAATAAGACACAAAGAAAAAAAAGAAAAAGAAAGAGAGAGAAAGAACTAGAAACTAGAAAGTTAGGGAAAGAAAGACAGACAAAGGAAAAGAGAGAAAGAGGCAGAGAGAGAAAGAAGCAGAGAAATAGAGAGAAATAAAGAAATGGGAAAACAGAAAGAGAGAGAAAAAATATTATGGACGTCTGAAATAAAGTCAATAACTCTACCGTCAACATTATTATTAGTGTATTAGAGATATATTATTTCGTTATAAAATTTGAAGCATTAAATAAACTTAAGATTAATAATAAAAATTATTAAAGTAATTACGATTAACCCAAGGAATTCAAATTCAATCAAGTTTTTTGGAGTCATTACATTTCTGTTTAAGAATTTAATTTCGTAAGTAAAATTTAACAATCATAAGTTCAAATCACAAAAGAACTATAAATATTTTTATTTAATATTAATTTTTTTTTGTTAAATTATTGTTGACATAAGAACTTCCATGCAGTTAATTTCAATTTGTAAAAATATTTAAAAAACTCTTAATCAATTATATATAAAACAAATTTACCTTAGATTCTATGTCACTTACAAATACAAAATCTGAGGTATCTAACTTTCTGATTATTAGCTTAAAATGTCCCTTTTCAAGCCTCTTTGAGCCCGTGTATTCTAGCCAAGAATTTTAAAAGATTTTTGTTGAAATGCGGATCTTTTTAATTAAAGTAGCTATCTATAAAAAAATGTTTAGTACGAGCGAAATATCGGAACTTTAAAATTTCGTCATACTAAGCAGTTGGTCGATTTAAGCGAAGTTGTTGTTGTTGTAATCCACTGGGATCTGAAAGAAGATAATATGTAAAAATTACAAGAAGAATACATGGGTTGAGATATGGATGGATGGTATTTGACGTAAGAATGGGGGGAAAAAGAAGAAGAGGAACATAAAGGCTGTGGAAACGCAGTTTAAATCAATCCGGGTTTAGACGAAGAATCTTAACCACTTCAAAAGAGTGAGCGCAAAGATCGATGATGTCGTTCTTCCTGGAAGATATCAGGCGGAGGCCTGTTGAGAGTCAACTTAGGTCTCGAAGAGGATACTGCATTTGTGTGGAGTGCTATAAGTCCACGTTTGTATTCGACCTCATTGATATTGGTTCCATCGTGGGCCATTTACTTTTAAAGGTTGCATTCGACATTTTTGATTTAATTTTCCTTACTTTATTTTTAAGTAAGTACTTAAGTAAGCACTTTACTTTTAAGTAAGTACTTTACTTTTAAGTAAGCACGGAAACTCTTTGTGTAGTTAATGAAATTTACTGAATAAGTTACACTTACTAAGTAAGCGGTGGATATACAATATTATGGAGGCTTGACAAATTGGCTTTAAGGTTTTATAAATAGTAAAGATTTGAAGTTAATTTTGTTTTAAAGCAAACTGATAAAGAATTATATAGTTATAGTTTAAATAATTGCAATTTTTTATATTTCAGGATTCATCACAAATTTGTTTGGTACAATAAGACACTTCTGGTCGCAGTACCGGCTGTTAGGTGATTTCACGTCAATAATTTTAATAAAAATAATATATCATTACATCATACTTAAGCTACTAAATTTTAAGATCGAAGTGTTTTTTAAATTAAAGTAATTTTTTAAAATTAATTTAACTGGCATTCCCAGCTTCATAAGATTATTTAGTGATTAATAAATCAATAAAAATTATTTCTTAAGACCATTGACGATGGGTGTTTGACAAATCTCGAAACAGACGAATGTTTAAAGGTTTTTTATATAGAAATTAGTTTCTTTATTATTATTAAAATAAAAATTAAATTAAAAATTTTTTTTTTTTTAATTAAACTTTTTAAATATTTCAATACATTTTTTGGTGTTGTTTCAATTACAAACCTCATCCTTTTACGAAGTTTTTTTCCCATGCATATGATTTCATTTGTTTAATTGTGAAGTGTCATTAATATATGAATTTATAATTATTAAATTAATTGGAAATAATAATTTAATTTAATATATTTGATTTGTCGTTTTGAACTTTTGTTTTTTTTTTTTTGCAACAAAATGCCGCGCGTCATATTTGCTGAATTTTTGTAAATTTTCGCATAAAAGTCTTATCAAAATACATAATTAAATTTATTATTTGACATTAAAAAATAAATGAAAATGGCATTACAAAAATAAAAAAAAATTGGAAAAATATTAAAATTACTCTAAATAAATAACTTTCATTTTTTTTGCTCATTATTTGAGAGCATAATTAACACACATTTAGATAATTAAATGATTTATGTGTAACTGTAATCAATTTTTATAGACTTTATAATTTCCCCACAATTTTCGCAAAAACTTAATTATTATTAAAAACTTTAATAATTTAGCTTAAAGTAAAACTGATAAGACAAAAACAAAAATTTCATATCATGCCATACACCAAACCAAATAATTGCGGGGTTATTCAGTTCAAAGGCATTTCAAAGGCATTGCATCCAGAAGAAGTCACGAAACCAGAAGACCATAGCGTCCAAGACCATTGGAGGTGTATGACACAAACTGCTAATGCTGCTGGTTATAATCGCTATAGCTTTATGAATACCGATATGAGTTTTTTTTTTGAGTAAGACTGTAGGCATGGTTCAGAAAGACAACTTTACAAAACATACTACTTTGGTTTTGTTACTATTTATAGTCTTAGTGATATAATTTGAACACTAAGATCACTGCTGAATTTATTTTTTATGGGTTTAAGCGAAAGATTGTGATAATGTAAACTATCTTTATACTTTCGGTACTTTGAAACCGTACATCCATTATTCCCAGTTATGTTTTGACAAGTCATCGAAAAAGAAGAAGACAAACATTGTAAAGATGTTTTTTGGAGTACATTATATTGAGGTTGTATTATTTTATATGTGTTGAAACCTTTTTTAAATTTCAATCTTGTGTGTATTTCATTTATGTTATTTTCTTGAATCACTAAATAGATAACCTTGTATAAAGTCGCTGCTCAAGCACTATTTTGAAAAAGTTATTTTAATACATATGCACTTTAGTAGCACTTTTCTTGGCCTTGGTTTCGATATTTGACGTGATCTGTTTTGTGTTTATTTGCTAGAATAAAGTAAATTAGGTTACCTTTATTACTTTTTGCAATTTTCATACTGACGACTTAGCGCTTATGAGATAGGATAGATAGAATTCTGTGTGATTAATTGCTATGTATTGAATATACTTACTTACTTACTTACTTACTTAGAAGGTCATTACAGATGTAAGTTGTCCTCGATCACGTTTAGTTGCTTCTTCCAGCCAGCTCAAAGAGTGGTTGCTTGCTATTGCCAATTGCTAGCACCGAGTGCTTCAATCTCCTTTCACCGAATTTGCGGATGTTCTCTATCCTGTTTTCTATGAATAGGAACCCAATCAAACACCTTTTTAGCCGGAACAATTGCTGAATTCTAACGCACTTGACTATTTAAATGTCATTGCTCTGCGCTAATGCACATATGAAATAGACTCCTAGGAATGTATATTCTTACGGAAGAGGCAATAAAACTCTGTAAAGTAGGTTTCATACTACTTTTTATTGACACAATAGGGCTGAAACACCGATGGTCGCAGTGTCACATCCCGTAACAATAATAATAATAATGTCATGGTATAGCTTATATAGCTAATCGTTTTATCTAATGTGGTACTCGTTGTCAAAGCGTAAGGGACCAAGGATGCTCCGAAGAATTTTTCTCTCGAGTTCCTCATGATTATTTCTCTTTTAAAAATGATTTATAAAGAATGTCGGTAGTCGCTCCAAAAGCTGTGGTCATGAAACATTTTTCAAAGATTGGATTAATCATATACATATGTGTACATATACGATTATAAAGGTTATACGATTGTGGAATACCGATGCAGCACAATTATATGAGATAAAAAATAAGTTACCATCCTATACTAGTCAGTTAGTTCTTTATTCAGATATTTATATTCATTCATATTACAAATTCATACTTACAAGTTCTAAGTTTACTAAGAACGACGCACAGTGTGACAAAACACAAAATTAGGCGGTCATAATTCGATATTTTCGGAACCAGTAAAGATATTGATATGAAATTTTCCTAAAATATAGTTTTTGAGTTGATCTTTCTTTTAAATCTAATTTGAGCCCAATCGGCCTACCGGAACTACCCGAAATTTTTGTCCAAACATGGGGATTTTACCGTGGTCCCAAGATTACTTAAAAACTATGATAGGTAGAAAGCTGAATTTTGGTGTCCGGAAAACTTACATTATTATCTATATTCAAAAATTTTTTATGGTTTTCCGCCCACTGCCACACCCACCCCCCATACAAAATTTTCATATTAAATCGTTTATTATGGTTCAAAAAACTTTTTGCACTTATTGGACTATATATATACCTGACGTACATAGCAACACAACTCCATGCAAAAAATGGGCGTGATCCGCCCATTAGTTCCTAAGTTATTTGCAGTTTTATGCAATTTTAGCGAAATTACGATTTCTCAAAAATTGAACCAACTTTAAACCTTTATAGCTTTTTTACTATTTATT